ATCAGTCACTTTAAAAAAAATAAAAAAATATATATATATGTATATATATATATATTTTTTTTTTTTAAGGTTGTAAATAAAAAGATTGGAGAAAATTATAATTTGGTCATTCTGTGTCAAAGCAGCCAAATTTTAACCTGCTACATTTTTTGATTTTGCTAATATTTTTTTCTGAATAAAGGCAACGATAAATAGCCAAAATGTCATGAATTAATATTGGTTTGCTGAATTGTTTTCTTGTTTTGAGTTTAGATGAAATGCTGTCATATCCCAGTCCTAAAAAGTGATGTAGGACTCTAAAAAAAAAAAAAGTCATCCATCCATCCATCTATCAGTCTTTCTGTCTAATCTATCTAATATAGCTTAATTATAATGCTTTTATTTTTGCCATTATTTTTTCTTTTGTGACTCATTTCTGCAGTTCTTGATATGCAAACGTAAGCTGGAGAGCAAGAAGGACGCGCTCCTCATTCTGTCCAAAGAGCTGGACAGCTGTCAGCAGGAGAGAGACCAGTACAAACTGATGGCCAACCAGCTGCGAGAGACACACCAGACCTTGAAGAAGAAATACAGAGAACTCATTGTGTGTCTCTGCATACTTACTATGCGTTATTATGTCTATTTAAAGGTTTCTTGGCTTCATAGTTCATCAGTATGTTTTATAATGAATTTCAGGATGGCGACTCTTCACTTCCACCGGAAAAACGTAATCAGGTGATGAGTGTGATATTTCACTTTTCAAGTTCTTGCAGGAAATTACTATCTCCTTCTCTCTGCATTTCTGTCTCTCTCTCTCTCTCTCTCTTTCTCTCTCAGGTCAATCTGGCTCAGTTGTTAATGGATTCGAGGGAAAGAAACAAGAAGCTAGCCGACGAGATAAAGGAACTGACTCAGAGACTCAGCGAGACACAGGGAGACAATAAGGTACCCATAAAACTATTCAAAAACGGCTATGTTTCCATCAAAAGATGCGAATTAACTTGTGCAAAAAATTGGAATATTGCATAAAACATTTGTGAATAAAGCAGCGCTTCCATCCCATGTGTTCAATAGCACAACATTGTCACTTCCTGTGAAAATGGCACAAAGCATAAGTAATAAAATAATAGAAAGTTGCTGGAAATGAGGAAGCATGCAACTTTTTTTCCAGACACGATAAACAAACCCTGTTGTGTTATTTTTGCATTCGGATGTCCTGATGTTTGGGTGTGCAATCGTGTGAGATAGTACTGGTAGGTAATTATACCAAATCCAATTTTGATGACAGACTTTGGTTTAGGCGTTTCAGAACAACTATAACAATATTTGAGATGGTGTGCAATGACACTGGCTAGTCCAGTTATCCAATCACATGATATGTTGTGGCAAGGTCACATGGGTTTTTTGTTGCACATCCAAGAATTTATTTGGTAGCTGTGTTTCCTTTGCATTTTATGTGCATTGAATTGTTTTTTTTGTTTTTTGTACATAATTTAAAAAATTATCCACCTCAGTTGAGTGCGTAGGTTTTTAGGTGCATGTTAAGATTTTATGCACATCTTGGAGTTTTCATCCATTGTTTTTTTTAATGCAATATCCCAAAATTTGCATGAAAATACATGGACAAATTGATATACAAATCTATAATAAGCTTTTCACATCCCTGCTGTCATCTTCCCTTCATAGCTGTTAAGAATGACCATCACCAAACAGAGGCTTGGGGACGATGAAGTCGGGGTCAGACATTTCCCTGCTCACGAGCGCGAGGATCTGGTCAGGCAGCTGGAGAAGGCAGCACTGCATGTGCGTCTTTATATGTTTAGGTTTTATATGATTCCCATCCTCACTTCTTGCAATTCAAGTGAATAAGAACAACATATTTTTCATGATCTCTCTGGTGTCCTATTCATGTTTTCAGTATATGATAGTAATTCAAATACAGCACTTTGTGAGAATATCCACTGGCACTATTATTTTAAGAGAGAAGAGCTTGAACACAGTCTGAAGACGCTGAGCGATGAACTGCAGGATGTAAAGGCAGAGAGGACCGTGTTTAAGGAGAAGGCTGAACGTCTCAACCTCGAGCTGAACCACATCTTGGGCGGCCAGGAGAAGCATATCATCGATGTGGACGCGCTCTGCATGGAGAACAAGTCAGGGAGTGTTAATGTCGCTCGTCAGATCTTCGTTATGTGTAATGCAGTGGTTCTCAACCATTTTGACTCCAAGGCCTCCTCATTGTCTGTGTTTTTTGAAGGCCTCCACCACATGTCGGCTAGGTTTGCTCTAGTATATCTGCTGTAATGAGTTTTGTTTTCAAAACATTTTTTTTTTTTAATTTACAGAAATTAGGTTTGTCCATAGATAAAATAGAAAATAAGTAACTTATAATTACAATTAAAGTAAGTTTTTAAGAGCTGAATGTTTGACTTTTCTGTATGTTAGTAACTTACAGAATTTTCACTCCCAATTATAAAACTGAGAGTTCCAGTCCTTGATTCTGATTGGCTGAGCTGCGTTTGAAGCTGTTGTAAATTACACTACAAACATACACCTTTGTGTGTTGCTCGGCAACCACTTTGTTGGAACCATAACTGATTCTGAGGAACTACATTGTTTGGTGGAAGAATGATGTTTTTATTACTATCATTACACTTTATTTGCTCTGTTTTATTTTGTGAAACCTTACTACGTATATGGAATAACCGTTTTATAAAAGCAATAAGCCCCGTGAAACCGTGGTTTACAGTAAATTTATAACAGCTAACTCCGCTTCGCGTCGTGCCTAACCCGTTTTGATTTGCTACACAATTTTTTTGAGTTTTTCGTGTTTTGTTGTATTGCAGATACTTGCAAGAGAGATTCAAACAAGTTCAAGAGGAGGTCAGTCTGTTGAAGAGTAACATTCAGAAATATAAGGTAAGGCTGAAAAGTCTTAATTTATTCATTTTTTTAAGGTTTAATCAGAGTTTAAGTTACGCAGCTTTAATATTGCATTGTAATATTTCACTGTATTTGCAATATCGCTATCTTGCTGGATATGTCATAGACTGCTCTGGATCGCAGAAGAAACCCTGAGATCGGTGGCAAGTCTAACAGCAGAGCACTTACTGGAGTCCTTTCTCCTAAACAAGGTGCTCAGGTCATGTGATTGCTTTTGTCTGAGAAGCTTAAAGAACTGAACTAACAAGGAAGTGAAGAAATGTTGCTATTCAGCATATCATACGAGTGCATTCACTTCTTCACACCTGTATTCCTGATGATTGCAGTGCAGGGTTTGTTGTCCGAGGATAATGGTTGCAGTTTACCAGCCACACCTCAGTCTATCTCAGACCTGAAGTCTTTAGCCACAGCCTTACTGGAGACCATTCATGAGAAGAACATAATCATTCAGCACCAAAGACAGACCAACAGGTTTGTTTGTAACTGCTTTTGCACGGACTGTTTTATCATTTATCACAAAAGCTGTATAATAAAAAAAAATGTTGTAGAAACAATTTCACTCCGGAATTACAAATCACAATTAATTACAAGGAAATTGCAAGTAACATTGAATTAAGCTTGAAATTAAGTAGGAAGACTGAAATAAAAAATTTTGTAAAACATACTCAAATAATCTTTATTTTATTTACATCATTTTACATAATTTATCTTAATACCTGCAGGTTGCATTCACAAAATGATTAGAAAAATATATCTCATGTTATCATTTATGGCCCGTTTCCGCCACTGAATAAAAAATAAAACAAGGTAATTGCGACTTTTTATCTCAGAATTCTGACTTTTTTTTTCTCGGAATTGCGAGTTTATATCTCGCAATTTTGACTTTATAACTCGCAATTTTGACTTTTATAACTCGCAATTTTAACTTTATAACTCGCAATTTTGAATTTTATAACTCGCAATTTTAACTTTTATAACTTGCAATTTTGACTTTTATAACTCGCAATTTTAACTTTATAACTCGCAAGTTTTCACTTTTATAACTCGCAATTTTCACTTTTATAACTCGCAATTTTCACTTTATAACTCGCAGTTTTCACTTTATAACTCGCAATTTTCACTTTTATAACCTGCAATTTTCACTTTTATAACCCGCAATTTTGACTTTATAAGGTAACCCGCAATTTTGACTTTATAACTCGCAATTTTGTAAAGTCAAAATTGCAAGATATGAACTTGAAATTCTAAGAAAAAAAGTCAGAATTCTGAAATAAAAAGTCGCAATTACCTTGTTTTATTTTTTATTCAGTGGCGGAAACGGGCTTCCATATATAATAGTAATAATCTGTACAGAATTAATTTTATTGTGCTTTATAGAATTCTGGGAAACCGAGTTGCTGATTTGGAGAGAAAGCTGAAGACTCTTGAAATTTCTGGGCTTTGGAGTCTCCCAGGTGAGTGCTTATATGTCGATCACATTTTTTGTGCTTTTCATTTTCCATTTGTTGAAATTGTTCTTTTTGGCTTGTGTTAATTATTATTTTTACCCGTATACCTACTGACTATCTATCGTTTTGTTTATAGGATAAAATCGTAGCGTTTAATCTAAGTAATTACTGTATATTGTAATTAATATATTTTAAAAGTTCTAAATTGTAATGTCATCATTACAAATGTGCAATTTCAAATTTATTTAAACACAAGTTCCAATAGAAATTACATTAAATTATATTTTAGTTGACCATAAATGTTTGTCAGCAGTAGTTTAACCGTATTTCAAAGACAATAGAAGTAATTATGAAATTACGTATGAAGATGTACTTAAGTTCTGCTTAAGTGGGTCAAAAAAGCACTTTATTTGCATTTAACATATAATTAAGTGTCCAAAAACATTAATTCCACACGCATATTCTTTTAAATTATAGAATTTTTGTGATAAGCGCTGTTTTTAAAAGTATGCTAAAGTGTACTACTTTTTTTTTTTTGCAAGGGATAGCCTTTAGCTGTAGTTTTTTATTGAATAAATTTGTTAATGTAACCACTTGGTTTACAAACATCAGCACTTTTGACGACTCCCTTGTGAACTGATCAGGAACGTTCAGAATAGACTAAAACTATTAGCTAGGCCGTTTTTGTCAAGCACTCTTTAAGGATCAGCACAGAATGTTCATACATTTCATTATTAATAAGCAGCATTCGTAGTGTTAGAGATATGCTGCTTTTTAATTAATTTAGCAGGTGTTCAGATGGGACGTTAAGGAACAGGAATAGTTAACCCAAAAAAGAAAATGTATTCGTCATCAGGCCATGCAAGATGTAGATGAGTTTATTCATAAGATTTGGAGAAATGTAGCATTGCATCAGTTGCTCAGCAATGGATGCTCTGTAGTGAATGGGTGCCGTCAGAATGAGAGTCCAAACAGATGATAAAAACATCACAATAATCCATAAGTAATCCACAGCACTCCAGTCCATCAGTTAATGTCTTGTGAAGTGAAAAGCTGCATGTTTGTAAAAAACAAATCCATCATTAAGACGTTTTAACTTCAAACTGTTGCTTGTGGCTAAAATACCATAATCCATAATATTCTTTCTCCAGTGAAAAAGTCGTCTCGTCTGAATCAGGAGAGAAACGTGCACAGATCAAGCACTGTTTACAAGCCAAAACGGCTCTTTCTAACGTATTTAACATGTTTTCGTAAATGTTACGGTCCTTTCGAGATCTAGGGAATTGGTCCGCAACATTTAAAACAAATGAATTCGATGAATGGAGAGGAGAGCAGAAAAAAACAGCCACGACGACAGCATATGGCAAAAAGGCAGTAATTTATTCTACAAATGGCAGAAGGCAGCAACTTATTCACGTAGCTGTCCAGAAACGCACCAGCAGCGCGTGTGCATATTTACAGTGCCGAAAATAAAAGTATAATACAAACAAACCAACAAAAAGGGAGAGACATGATAGAGTGGCGCCTAAATCAACAAAGAAACAAAACCAAACAAGGCTACACTAAACGCCCAAACCCACTAACCTATCCTAACCAAATAAAAATGTGAAACAAAAACACGAAAGCTTCGGCGTAGGCGACGCCCTAAATACCCTACACTAACTAAAACAGAAAGAAATACACAAGAGGCGCTCACCCACTGACTAGTGTATCTAACACGGTTTCACTACGTGCAAGAGATGTAACCTACAACTAAGCTTACCTACCCTCATCTCCCACCTAGAGAACGAGAAAACTCAATAAGCTCACCATCAATTCGGCACATAGTTGTAAGACATGAAAGTCATACTGAGCAACTTGAGAACGAGAAGATACACAGGAGTGAGGCACAACTCAAACAAATCGAAAACACACACGCTGATGCCCGGGAGCTCACACAGGCTCTCCGCTCAGAGCACAGCCAAAAAGTCTCGCTACACACCCCAACAGCGCTCACTGCGCTGCCCTCGCCTCCCAGGCCGAGCGCACCGGAAGCTTTTAAAGCCACGGGCCGTCAGCTGATTCGTCGCAGTATGGAACACCCTAATAATGATTGGCGGCGAGTCACCCACTCAGCGGAAACCTAGGAGTTGGGGAAAAAGAAAACACAAGTAACAAGAAAAAATAAAAACAAAAACAACAACTCCCAGGGAACGTAACAGCATCTCTTATCATTCAGTTTAATAAATTTGTCTATCATTTAATTCAACTGATGTTAATGTTTAATCAATGAATCATTTATTATGTCCATAGATTTTCAACTTGTCTGATTGTTGTCTGATAATTTGTAAGTTACAAATTGCTGCAAGAGCTTTCAGTCAAGAAAGACCAATTACTAATTATTTTCACCTGATGATCACAATTAGATACCATATAAGTAGAACTGTGTGTGAGACTTTGCAATGTTCAAACATGGAGCAGGATAGACTTGTAGAGAGAGGAAACTTGCATCGAAGAGGTGGTGGTGCTCCTCAACAGAGAGGTGGACGTGGGCCAAGACAAAGA